AATAAATTTGGAACTCTCACGTCATGCTATTCAACAAATCCTTCAAGGTAGAGTAAAACACTTTCAATTACAATTTTATTGATGTTGACAGGTACATGTAAACAGTGTACTCACGGGAAATTTTGTTAGCTACCTAAAAGTGAGGCTTTTAAATTCTAATACTAATAAAGGAGTTTTATGAAAAGACTTACTTTTACATTTGACTATTTGTGCTTTGTTTTTGTTGAAAACTTGCATATTAATAAAATGAAACATGAATTTAGTGAAAATAATAGTTTCATATAATTTATCAATGTTTGTCAGTAATTATCAATGTTGTTCAAGAACTTTACGGACAAGCCTCGTACATAAAACTGTATATTAAAATTTGTTGAAAAACTCGTCGTCATCAATTTGCATGCCGTGTGGGTTGTTTAACACTTTCCTTACCTGACGCCATACGTTTTATTGTTGACATATTCCGAACACTAATATTGGTGCGTAGTAATTTACATTCTCATCTGACATTTGACTAAGTTTCGTAATTTGTGGTCATGAGGTAAAACAATTTCGAATATTATGCCCCCCCTTTTTTTTACTCAGTATATACAAGTCAGGTCTAAATCTAATTCAATTGTATAAATTTCGGCTTTTTGTGATGCTACATCTTAAAAAGAAGGCATTGTTTAAGCTTTATCGTGCCCTAAATATTAGCGTTTTCAAAAAATTTGGAAACTAACTGAAATAATAGTCGAGTTTATGACTTTGATAGATAAGAAAAGAATATGGCATAAAGGAGTTCCATTCTGGAAATATGACATTATTAATTTGATGCATTTCTCTTCTTTAAACAGAAAAGACTGAAATTTTTAGGGTAATTTTTCTTCAGCCATCACCTACTTAACTTTTTGGAAATAATGTGCAAAATTCAATGCGAAATTACAAATCTCAAAATCTTTGTTGGCGATACCTGTGGACAATGTCATCTTAAAGAAAATTCCATTGAAAATTAGTGTCTTCTGCAACTTAAAGAAGATAAGGGAAAATGCACATGTTTATGACGTCACAATTAGCATTTATAAATGCATGTGAAAAAATTATTTGAATTATTTTTCTGCATGGAATTTAAAAAAGCACGAGTTGTCATCTTTTATTTCAGTTTCAATTTTAAGAAAATCCCCAGGCAAGATTTGTATTGAAACAATACCTTGTTCTTTATATGTGCCACTTATTTTTAAAAGATTTTATCTTTAAATGTTTACTTGCTATGGTCTAAAAATACGTTTCTTTTTGATAATCATTTGTAACATGATAGCAAAGACCATGTATGTGTATTAATGCAGGAATGTAAGGTGTTATGATATTTTAATACTAGGTATACAAAATAGAAGGTACATTATTATTGCGTCTTTAAATATAACTCATATATTTGTTCCAACGGACACATAAAGACACAATATTGTTGAACTGGTAATAATATCCTCAACAATTAAAAGATACGGACACTGCGATAAAAGCAGTCCCAATTTTTTTTTTAATTTAGATTTTTAAAAAGTGTCTTTATTATTTTTTTATTATTTTTAAACAATTTTAAATGTCACATCATCTGTGTTCGTGTATGTTTTTCAAACGAATCAAAATATAAAACAAAATGTACTTATATTGTCGATACATGCAAACAACTCTTGAATGGTGTAAATCAAATAACAATCGCTTCGATGGATACATTTAAATCCATATAATGTTTATGAATATCCTTCCGTCTTTTACAGAGAGTGTATTTCGTTAAGTGATGTAATAACTCTTTCAAAAGTGTTTGATTTTAGATTTTAAAATGTTATCTAATTAAGTTCGTCCACATTCCTCATTTATAAAATTTCAGAAACATGTATTCTACTAATGAAATAAAAGATAAGATATATCATACCTATTCATTCCATATTATGAGCAAGAGATATTTATTTTTATTAAATATTAACAATCTCCATTTTTTTAGAGTTCCTGTGCATTGCAACCGTTAACTTAAATAGGGAATCCATCAGCTACTTATGACGTTACATGCAGCTATTATTAGCACTCAGTTTGTGAAAAAAATATCTATAAAATTGCTGTAAATAACAATAGCAAGGAAACGGATATTTCTATTGATAATTTTATGTTTACATGTTAAGTGTACTGGTTTTTCCCCTATATCATTTATATTACTTACAAATTGAACCGTGATCTTGCTCAAGAGACTATAGCAATTATGAATGTTAAATCTAAGCTGTTGATCTTCGTGAACTTTTCAATCCCAGAAGATTTTTATAACTTAACCTTTAATTATCATACATGTCATAGTATTTATCTACAGTTTTTATTTGTTTAAGAAACACAAATATGTATAACCTAGATGTTAGTTATTTCAAGAAAAAAGGACTCAAATACAAAAAAAACAAAACAACAGTAAGTGATATAACGACCTCAGACTCCTAATTTTAACAATGAAATACTCTCCATATATCTCATACACTGCTCTGTACAATGTAGGTTTTAAAGCAATGCAACGTTTATAAATATGATTATGCACTGAATACAAAAATGGTTTCTTAGCTTAACTATCAGTAAAACTGCTGCTCATTATTTAGTCAGAAGAAGGAACGGGTTTGTTGTATTTTTAGCAGTATCATATAACATTATCTCATTTAAAGTCCAACTTTTACGTTTAAATACACTGCTCTTCTGCATTCTTCTGTTTTCATTCATAAAAACCCTTTAAACTTTATGAATGGACCGCGAGAAACTAAACATCTAATCCAGGTAATCTTAATAGTAATAAAAAGGAGTGTAATGATTGGATACGGTGTTCCCATTCAAATAAATAATAAACAATATGGAAGGATTTATATTTCACATACTGAAAACTATAAAGATCCACAGAGAGCTATATTTGATTCTGGTGATTTGCGTTCTTATTTTCATTTACAAATTCTCAGATAAAATAATAAATATATAATTATCTTAGTCATGTATTCTATATATTGACATTTTTTCAACTGAACAGAAACATTGAAAAGAAAACACTTTGTCCTGGTTTTAACACGAGAACCCTAGTTTGTTCTGTTTCTTGCGAAGTTATTTTGATGCAATAACTATACCTAATATTTATCACGCAGTTTTTTCGATGAATTGTGTTTTTTCGTTAAGTTTATAGGGGGCGCAGATTTGTACATTGGTCATCTGTAGTCTCTGTTTTTTTCATTGGATTTCATAAAATTCCAGATTAAGAATGAGCTAGAGTTAATGTTTTAATAATTGTCACAGCCATGTTTCATATGTCATGACAAGGGTTTTAATTTCATTTGCATATTTATATTTAACACACTTTTCATCATTTTTTTGGTTTTTAACACTCAAACTAAAGCCTTCTCCAAATGGTAACTCATCAATCCCCCCCCATCCAAAAATATTGCTTTATTACTGCAGTACACAGTATTTTTGATAAAATGTGTATTATTGTAAGAAAATAGCAGCTTTAATATGAATCGTGAAATTGATAATTAAAATTCTGTGTCACACGAATAGTAGACTATATAGAGATATAAAGCTACGTTAACGTTCTATGGGCTTTTTATCTTTTTTTCAAATTGGATTTGTACTGTTTGTTAAGAAAATGTGTCCTCAAAATTATAATAATTCGAAGAAAAATTTAAAATTTCTCAAACTTGATCCGGATATTTACAATATGAAAGAATTAATCTTTAGTTACCGATTAAAATGAAACAAGTTTTTTTTAAAGTTATAGCTAATACAAGTCTTCATATCAGATAACTTAAATAAGAATTTTATATTCATTTTTCCTACCTGAAAGAATGTTTGTTTTATTGACCCCTCTTTAAATTTGATTTATAAAAAAGAAACCGAATAATACACGTTATATACATGCGACAAAAAGTCCCTAGAAGATTCCATGTCAATTTCTAGAACTATGCACATGCAATGTTATTTAATCTTTCATAGTTATGATTCAGCATTTAAAAAGTATTTATCTACAATACAACATGCAGCACTACTAAATTCAATCAGTTATATTGTAAAATAAATTGACTATCAAATGATCTGAGTTAAGTAACAAAAAAACGAAGCTATTTCCTAAAATACAAAAATATAAATGGGAAAATAGCCTGGAAATTGTTCGTTATCTCCATATGTATTCCATATTTTTCCGACCTCTAGAAACTACATTTTCACATTTTAAGATTTTCATAAATTTACACAGCAGATCCCAAATTATACATGTAAGCTAACTTTCATAACAGTTTACAATTTTTATAAGTGCAACATATTTAAATACTTTTTTCCATTCCAAGAAGTTAGAAAGTTTTATTCCTATTTTCTGATGTAAGTCATACAAAACATCATTTCAACAGTGTTTCATTCTTTTAAATACAACATGTTAGAAACACTTTTAAAATCAAGAAATCCGTATGCCATTTGACCAAACTGACCGTTTCCGCTATGTTAGGCTATAAGATCATAAAATTTAGTACCCGTTTTATTTTTTCTAATCAAAGAAAAATCAGATGAATTATGAGTGCCGTCGAACTCCCTGCATTCACATTTTAAGAAATTAATTTAAATTTTGAGATTATGCTTTAGCACGTCATGAAAAATATGCCTGCGTTCTAATCCCTATGTACATGTATCTCATAAATTCTAAAAAAAAAAAAACAAACAAAAAACAAACAAACAAACAAACAAAACAAAACAAAACAAAAAACTACATTTATTTCTAGTATTTTTGATGACCTGCCACACATTTTTATCATTCAAAGATTATTTTTTAAATGCTTGCACATTTTTTTTTCAATTTATTTTACATTATAATGGAGATATTCTTACTCCACCCATGGCATTTAATGAGGATCAGAACTTTATAGAATTTCAAAGAACTTTAAAATAAAATATCAAGAAATGTAAATATTCTGGAAAGACACATTCTTAAACTTGTAAACATACATTTAATCAAGTATAAATAGCTAATTTCCAACTTGTAGAAATCTGTATGAGGCATATCATATATGACCTACTTAAACCTCTAATAAAGGACAAATGACTTGCTCATAATACATGAATACTTTACAATTTGTATATGTTATATCATATTTCTCAATTTCAGTAAAATTTTATCCAACTATTAGTGATTATGCCCACCATATGTGCTGTATAAAATACTTGATGCATTTCTGATATCTGAGCCCGTGTATCTGCACTGAATATAAACACTTGTCCCTATTTATATCTTCACATCTGGATACCGTAAAATTAAATTTTAAAAGTCATGGCATTTGACAAAGCAGAAATCAAGCACATGCTCTTACATGCATCCTTTGTACTTTAACCGGTTCATTTAAGATATTTGCACTAATATGCGTTGGTGTTGTAAGCTTCTGAACTCTTTTATACAATTTTATATCTTAATTTTTTGGTTGGTTCGTTGGAAAGGGTATCGCATAGTCTTTTAGTCATCATCTCGACTTAATTAAAATGTATACAGAATACCAAAATATATGCTAACAATTTTTATAGGTTTGATTTTCATTATCTTATTTCAAATGTAGTTTTAGAACTTTCATATTTGAAAAAAATATAAACATGCATTTATCTAAAAATTGCTTTTATTAAGTCCAATGTGGACTTAGTGATATGATTTAATGCTGAAGTTTAATATATATTTGTAATAAAAGGATTTAAATAAAACTAGTGTGAACAGCAAATCTTTTAAAATTTATGTCATTGTAAAAATCTATTCAATTAATTCATTAAGACGGATACGTATTTATTCATCGATGGTTTCAAAATCAAATTTGATAGCCTTGGTTAGAACAGTAGAAAAAATATTGCATTGTGAAGGTGCTTATATTAATCGTTTACTTACAATACATATATGTTCCTATGATAGTCAGGGGAAAAATTACATAAAAGGTAACACTTCTATCTAATCAATTTTACATGCAAAAAAAAGTTAATCCGTGTAATATCCGAGTATTTCTTTACTTCAAGAATCTACATGAGTATCCGAAATAGGTCGGATCCTGTTTGTAAAAAGGAATAAGTAAGAAGATAAGATCTCAAAAGTTATTAAATAATTTAGCAGATATTTAAATCAAACTGTCGAAAAGATTCTAGTGAATCAGGTGCTACAGTGTATTTTTAAGACAAAAATGACCCGGAAAATTATTAAACTAGCCATGTTTTAACGGTTCCTTTGACAAACTGACGACAGATCGGACATTTCCTCATGGCTGGAGCACAGTCTGGACAACAGCAGAGATGACCACAAGGTAACATGGCGATAGAAGCCTCGTTCTCAAGACAGATTTTACAAAGCCGGAGATCCTTTAGTTTTCTGTTTTCTTCAATGAGTGACCTTGTATCTGAGTACAACAAGAAGAGAACAATAAAAATTTAAGTGCATTATATGAGTGTTCAAAGATTTAAATGAAGCGATGACTAACATATCTTTCACTTGGTGTTACCATTACATGATAACAATCAGTGGTTATTACCTTCAACTGACATGGACGCTAATGACTGGCTAACACTGTTCAGATCTCTCTGGCTATGAGTTTGAAAATCTACAAAGCATATCATTAATTATAATTTTTATATACTTTTCAAAATTCTTTGTCAATTTTACCATGTCTAGATTTGAACCGTAACGTTTTTATCCACCTACCACTCCCTTCATTCATTTCTTTAGAGTTTATAGCTTTGAGAGTGCCTGATGTAGGTTGTTCTGATTTCCCAGTCTCGTTTATTTTGTTTCCCAATCCTCCTGATGCTGATGGTGGGCTTGTGTTTTCTCCAGATGTCTCCTCTTCAGCTAATACTATTTCTAGTAATTCTTCAGCCTTGATATCAATCGGTTCTGAAATTTTAAAATATACTGTAATTATCGTTATAATAAGGATTGTGAGTAAAGAAGGTCTTACATTATTTTATCGCATTGGTAATTGTCTCTATATTTTTGTGTTCTCATTACGTGGTATGATAACTTATTTTCGTTCAGCGATATTTTTTGTATTCTTTAGCTTTGATATGAGTTTTTTTCATACCACATTTTGCAGTGGACTTTAATTTTGTGTTTTATCTAATTTCACTTGCATGCAAAAGAGATAAAAATATAAAAGTAGTCACACGTGTTCTTTCTTACAGTATTTGTTTATTTGTACCTTTCGTTTCTTTCAAGAGATCAAACGCTTTTCGGATTTCTGGAGATGAGTAGCCCATTTCAAGCAAACTTTGGAAACCTGGATGTACCGTGATGGTTTGTACAGAATTCTGGGTTTGCATGGATGTGTTTACGATAGCATTCCGTTGGTCGTCCTGATGACCATTCATTCCTCCAGATGCCTCCTTGAAATAATGAATAATAAGTTTTAACACAAAATGCAGCATTAAATTCACAACATCATGGACAAACCACCTAATTAAATATATATAGAGACTTACTTTTTCTTGGTGTTCTATTTGCACCAAGGCAACAAACTCGTCCCCTTTGTTCTGTCTTAGAAAAGCACACTTCGGAAACCATCTAGCGTGTTCTACCCAGGGATCATCACCAGGTTCCCAATTTCGTAATCCTCCGCCACAGAAGAAACAGCGTGTGTAATCCCCGTATCCTGAATATAAAAACCCTGCCATGGCTAAGTCTCTAGGAGTCTGAGTGATACTTGAAGGCCAGTCTGCAAAGGAGCTAATTCTCACTGCTAATACTGCGTAAGAAGGATACTTTGGACGATCAAAGTTAATACCTAGTGGATCTAGGTTTCGGATGAATGCATTAATCTTTTCTTGTTGAGCTCTAGCTTTTGTGAGCTGATCACTTGGTGGTCTATTGGAAGAATGACTTTGTTGACAATCTCTTACGTTTCTGGATATGCCTTCATTATTGACTGAAATTTGGGATCCATTATTCGGTCCATCAGTAAGCGGGTCAGGGTTCAAAGTTATTCCTTGCTGACCTTCATTTTGGGACACACAATTCTCGTCGATACCATTGGTTCCATTTCCTCCAATTTGAATATTACTTGAACAATTTGAATTAAAAAGCGGACAGTTTAGAGAAGCCTCTTTATGAATAGTTTCAACATCATCATCTTTTTTCCAATCATGTTTTCTAAATCCACAAGCAAAACATATAACAGTGTCTTCCTCCCTCGAATAATAAAATCCCTGTCGAGCAAGTTTCACCGTTGATACTGAACTGGAGGATGTGAAATTGTGAAATGAACTTAGTCTTACAAGTTCTAAATTCAATGAATGGCTGTAGGTTTCTTGTTCATTGCTTCCCTGATTTTGATTTATTTCTCTTTCTACAAATTCGTCAAGATTTCTAGAAGTCCCATATACTGGGAAAAGCTGAATACATTCTTTTCTTATTTGAGATAATCCAAACAGCATAAACGTTAGATGTTCCTTAAAATCCGAATATCTACCCTTTTTGTCAAAACCTAAATGAATTTTATTCTGATAATGCTTTGAACAATACTGATGGTCAAATTTCCTTATAGTTTCTTTAATTTTATCTTTGATGCTGGAATATTTATTGTAGTTGACTAGCCCTGATATATTTTTATAAATTTCATGAATTATTCTGTTACTCTTCCCAGAATGATGTGAAGGTAAATGCTTTCCTGGAAAACCTTTTGAATACCACATTTCCCCAAATTAAACTCTGTGTGTTTTTCTCGAATCTTTTGATTTTTCTTTTTCCTGGCACATAAATCCAGTTTTGAGGGGAAAAGCACTTTGTATTTCTTTCTTTGATGCTTTTGATAGTTTTCTTTACTTTCCTTGTAAAAAGCAGTTGGTGGAACTGCTTTAAAGTTGCTTTCAATCTTTTTTACGATTGCCTCTATGCTCTGTACACTTTTCAAAATGAGTGAACTATTGAATTTATATGATTGATGTGTTGCATCTTTTTCTCTTCTTGAAATTTTGTCCGTACCCGCAAAAGATCCTTCTCTTTTTGATTTATGCGATATTTTGCTACCACTGCAGGAGTGTATGCTAGGATAGCTTCCATCAGAATCCTTTCTATTCCCCTGTTCATGATTAATTCTGGATGAATTATCATCAGGACATTTTTTGCCATGACATATGTCGTCACTGGTTGGGTTCCATTGACCTTTAGGGTTTGTCCTGATGTCGTTATCTGACCCCAATTCGACCTTCAGTCGGCGCCTTCTTCTTGATCTTGACCCTATCTCTTCCTCGTAATTCATATATTTCTACGTGATTACGTCTTTCTTTGATCTTGTAGATAGTTGTCTGAATTAAATACATCATGTTAATAAATTACCAATTGCAGGAACATATTATAAAGTTAACATTAGCTAAAAGTAGATGTCATTACCTTGGAATTTATTCTCTGACGGCCACAAAAGAATGACATGGTTTGCCTTTAAAAGGTTATCATATTATCTCTGGAGAAAGTGTTCATTCTCATCTACAATAGAAAAATTGCGTGAAATTGTATATGATTGTTTAATTATAATTAGGGATGTCATCGAGTACCCAGTTAACCAAGTAGTCGATGGAACGTCCGAGTATCGAATAAAATCGGTACTCTGTTACTCGTATGTATATTTTTTTAATATTTCTATGCTTATTTATTAATGCATTAAACAATCCGTTTTGAAACGTAAAAATTTCATTGCACTTTTATATACAGTAATTACGGTTTCCTATGCCTTTAAGTGGCCTTTATCGCTTTAAGCAGTGTTTATACAGTAAGTATTGTGACCGAGCACCTGTTACCTGGCTTTTCTCACCTTCGGATGTGTTCTATACCCTTATTTTTGATTTGCTTGCAATAATTACTGGTGTTCACTAAACGTTTAAGGTCTTAGCTGCAGATCTGTAGCTCTCCGAAAAAAATAAATAAATAAACAGACCGGTGAGCTACAGTGCACCCATTGTAAAAACTGTATATTTATTGCGCACAAAAAGTTGCGTTTAGTTCTGGGTTAATTCTTCCAAATTCTTACCTCAATCGCAAAAACAGGCATATTTTAAAAAACTCTGGTACTTGATAACTGCACAAAGTGCGTTGGACCGAATTATCTTGAAACCAAAAGTGCAGTATAAATAGACGAAGTTTTCGATGATATCAATTTCAGGGTTAGAAGGGCTATTAACAACAATTTTAAGGAATGTTAATTGTAACTTACGGCCATTGAACAATGAGAGATCTTAATCGTGCCAAAGTCTACCGTTAAGAATTGTTAAATATAAAATACAAATATACGTCTGTACATTAAGTCAATTGAGGAATAATTTCTGTATAATTAAATATAAATCAACGTAAGGTAATCAACCTCAAAGTCCATTGAAAAAATTCAAAGTAGGAGCAAAGCAAATGTAGACCTCTAAAGTCGTCAGAGGTTGGACCAGGTACCCTGGAGACATGTCTATCGGTCATTCCTACTATGTCCCCTTTGTCTTTATCAGACAAATATTTAAAATCCGTAGGCAAATCAGAGTAGAAATAATGTAATAACATTTGAATGAAAAAAGTCAGACGACGCTGAAATGAACAAAATTGTTTTTTTCATAAGTTATGTTCATATCAACACATTCCCCTTTAAAAAACAATATTGATTTTTAAAAAAAAAATCTATTATGATTGACATCTTTTCCTGAATAAAATGTAAACTGGAAAGTGCCAAATTGAATTTAAAACTATGGTTTGTAAGTTATGATATATGTAGCTCTACAGAGAAGATAATTACCGAATTATCCAATTTACCCAAGGATGTAACGTTTTCTTACCTACTTCACAGCTTACACTCCAGATGTAAAATACAGAGTATAGTCATCACAGAGAGCATGCGTGACAATTCATATGAGCTTGTAACGTAACAGACGACGTGGCCGTGAGTTGTATAATTATGTTCTTAATAGAACTGTTTTTAATGAAAAAAAATCTTTTGCAGTGAGAAGAAAGATTTTAGCATAAGTGTTAGTCTGGCTATGCTTTCTATTATACAATTCGATAAAATCACAGAATGAAAATGAAATATTAACATAATCATCAAAAGAATTTTTATTTGCTTTATATTCATTGATCTGCTGAATTTAATTTTAGAGAGTGAACGTCAGCTAGTTTTTATGCTACTTTTACAAACAAAATTGGTAGGCTAAAGGAAAATGAAGGAATGTTGAGTTTTATATCATAAAAACGAACGTTAAAAAGGTTATATTGATTATCTGCTTGTTACGTAACTGGATTTGTGTTTGTCGATCAATATGTGGCCCCCTTCAAAAATTTTAAAATGAGCTACACAACGGCACTAGAGAAAAGGCGTTGATTATTTCAATCCATACAAAAATATTGCAACTTCTTTTTCAATACTCGTTACTAAAAATCCTATTTTCAGCAAAGGAATTCCTAAATGGAAGTTTCAAAAAATAAATTGGTTTTTTTTATTTAGTTTTCCAATGCATTTGGGAAAATTTATCATTTGTTCTATCAGATCCCTCGAAAGTATTGATTTTTACCTATGTTATCATTTCCTAATAGTTTCAGTGATTACTTAGTATTCCCCACATTGTAAGCATATTTATTTTTTTTTATAAAAAAAAATAAATATTTATTTAAGGTCTTTTATTTCAAACAAAATTCTTTTTTTTTTAAGAAATTGTGTTCCTAGAATTGCGCGAACTGACTATACATAATTGTGTTCCTTAAATCGGAAAATGGCCATATAAGACATTGTGCTCTGTTCCAAAACAGGGAAAAACAATCTTTATTGTGTTCACGGAACCCAGATTCGCCGAAAAAATAAGTGCTTGACTCAATCATTTTCTTTAGGTTAAAAGACTCCTAATACCATTTCATATAAGTTCAATGGAAAATATGACTTACTTTCTTATTTTTTCTGCCGAAATATGGTTGAAATATTGTTACCCGGCGTTAAGCAGCAATCAATCCATCAATGAATCTTACTCAATGTTCACAGAAATTCATAAAGGTTTTCCTAACATTGGACACTAACAAATACGAAGCCATGTTTATGAATTGATTGAGGATTGCAGATTTAGTTGTATCGCCTATTGTGGGTATCTGGCCTTGTTGTTTCAAAAATTCTTTTATAAACGTCTGTGTAAATAATCTTTTTCTCAAGAAAAAAGCATCAATAAATAAAATAGATTTGATTTGTTCTTGATGCTCAAAAGCCTTCTGTAATAAATTGATATAAATATACATAATAGGCCTTGTTTCATAATCAAAAAATCAAATCTCTTTGTAGTTTTCCCATTTTTTTAATGCTTGCATAATTTGAAGAACAACAGCTGGCTACCGACTGAATCTAACTCTTTGTATGATTTTAAAAAAAAAGAATTAAGGGATCCTCGGAAAGACGGAAATGTGTTTTTAAAGATAGGAAAATCTCAATTAACATTAATTTTGATCAGGAAGTACCATTTTAAAAGCCTTAAGAAGTGGTCGATTGTTTTGTCATCCGATCCTTCACTGAAGCTGTATTTTATAATCTATAAGGAAGAAAAAACTTATAGTTATATGAGCTGCTAATTCTATTTTAAATTTTTTTTTTTGCTTGATTGCCATTTACTATTTTGAGGATAGAGAAAAAGAATATTTTTAAACTTTTATTCATATTTATCATAGAGGAACTATTTTCAAGCTCTTAATATTAACGTGCAAAATTACATAATTGTCGACATGTACATGTACAATCTTGCTTTCCTGAACGCTAATAATACTTATTATTCAGAAAAAGAAATTTTATACTTTATTTTAGTCTTATGGGGTTGAAATCACTCAAAATTACATCATAACAACACATTTTAACAGCAAAGTAAATGAAGGTCATATTGTTTAGGAAATATTGTTAAATTTCTATTCTTTAAATACATTGAGAACGCATTAATCTTTGACTAGTAATACGTTGATAACTGACACAGAGGCAAACATGATTAGATAATAGTCAAGTTTGAATTGAAAAATGGAAAGTCAAAAGAGATATCAAAAAGCGCACAAAATGTATTTGCTTAATTTTCGTGTATTTACTTTCCATAACATCCAAAACGGTGGTCCAAAACAGACAATTCCATCCCTAGTCATCATGTTGCAAAAGAAAAAATACAGCCTTAAGATTAAAGTACCTGACTTGTATATCAATTATTCAGATAATGCCTTAGGCATATACACAGTGTACATGTGTATTTTTAATATGTAATTCATTTTACTCTCATATACTGAGGACTGTTTTATACATGACATGTCAGATTTTATCTTAAGTTCATTGTATTGTTCTTTGCTTTTAGAATTAAAGGATGTCTGCATGGCTTCGATTCAATATCGGTTCAAAGCAGTCTTCACATCATTTAATTAGTTTTGATTTGATATCTACTAAAGCGTATTAGTGCCACTTGGACACTTCAATTTTTTTTTAATTTCTACAATTTAAAGTGTAAATTTTACACTTTAATCTGTAAATTTTACACATTAATCTGTAAAATTTACACTTAAATCTGTAAAATTTACACATTAATCTGTGAATTCTACACTTTAATCTGTAAAATTTACATAATAATCTGTAAATTTTATACTTTAAAATGTAAATTTTACACTTTACAGTGTAAAATTTACACTTTATTTTGAACAACCTGAACTGCAATAGGTTATGATCGAACGGTCGATTTGTGATGTTTTACCTCTGATACATGAGAAAAAGTATTAAACTGAGATGTTTACAATTATTTGTATATTTTTATTTTACATGTACTCGTACTTGTTTTTTAGTATATGAAAAACAAGGATGGACTATTTCCTCATGGGTCTTGAAATTTTCCCCAGCATAAGAAATCAGGGATCTGCTTTTGTTTCAGTATATATACATGTGTTTCTTTAGTTTTACTATAGTGTAACGAAAAGTAAAAAAATATATATCTCAAATATTTTTGTTTTTATTTGCAGTTCAGATTGATATTACGCTTCCGTAATTATCTTGCATGATTAACGGTCTGTTGGTTTTAAAATGCGTTATTTGGAATGTGTGAAGTTGCTCAATTGACTATGTGAATAAACAAATAAAGTGTAAAATTTACACACTGTAAAATTTACAGATTATAGTGTAAATTTTACAAAATAAAGTGTAAAATTTACAGATTATAGTGTAAATTTTACAAAATAAAGTGTAAAATTTACAGATTAATTTGTAAATTTTACAGATTAAAGTGTAAACTTTACAGATTAATGTGTAAAATTTACAGATTAAAGTGTTAAATTTACAGATTAATGTGTAAAATTTATAGATTAAAGTGTAAAATTTACACTTTAAAGTGTTAAGTGTAAAATTTAAAGATTAATGTGTAAAATTTACACTTTAAAGTGTAGAAATTAAAAAAAAGTGAAGTGTCCAAGTAACACTAATACGCTTTCGTAACTACGTGCAGATACCACGATTAAAAAAATTTATTTTCGTCACTTAAGAAATTTCATTGTAATTTACATGTCGAGTATTACTTTCAGCGCTGGTCACATGGAATTTAAAGATGCTCGGTTTGATTTTAGCATATACTGTAAAGACATTTCTAACAAATTACATTATTTATATACTGCACTACTGATAAGCTGAACACTAAAAAAAAACAATCCTGTTTAGACTCATTAATTGATAAAACTTTGATCATAGATTGATCTAAAATGTGCCATTTTAAACAGCGAATTCGACTTTTTAATTCATGTGAAATAAATTTTTGTATGAGTATAATGGGATGGAAGTTCACATTTTCTTTCCTTAATTCAATTAGCAATTGATTCATATTATGGTAGTTGATATGTTCAGTCAGTCAGATGTTTTAGAAATGATAAGAGGCCCATTGGCCTTATGGATAACTTGAACATCAAGCAACAACTTTCCAACAATTGAATTTGGATCATGTTGTAAACCAGAGGCGATGGCATTCTAAGTATTAAAAGTGGCGCCATTTTTCATCATAAATATACATATAGCATGGTTATTTTGGTTATTATTACATAGATCTTTTCCGGTCCCTCCTTTTTATAGAAACCTTGGAATACGACGACAACGGTATAATTTAAATTTCTTGAGAGAAAAAAATGAAATCATTTCTGTTTGGCTATAAGAAATTCGTTTTATCATTTGAACAATGGAATATTTGAACATAAATAATTCAACTTACTTACTTTGCACCGTACAAAAACCCCTCTACGACTGACGTAAATTTACTGATTGCTTTAGAAATTGTTTTTCTAGATTTATATATACACCATACAGGGTATAAAAAGACGCTTTTTGCTAAAGAACCCTTTTAATTTTTATTTCTATATTTATTACTTTATTTGGACGAACTTCAAGACACGGCGTAATTTTTATTATGGTTGTGACCAATGATCCTCATATTTTAGGTACGTTACGTCTGCACGGGACAATCACGTTTAAAATTATCAAACAAATATAGGTAAACCACCACTAGTTTCCTAGTTTTTGATTACTGGTAATGAATAAGCCTTGTGACACATTTATCTACTTCCTAAATCTGTCTTTGTTATTGTTATTTGTATTTGTTCGGCATGATTTTAAAACGACAGCACTTAAAATTTTACATTTAAAAACAATTATGAGTAACAAGTTATACATCCAAGAACATAATATGTTCAAATAAGTATATGTAACTTTAACAGTTCTGAATAATTTCTTCCAAAGCATTAAAGCTGCATTGTATACAGACAGTGAAGTTGTTTGATACATCTGACATATACAGAGCAAACTATATATAGGTGATACGTATAAAATATCTGTGGAAAGCACCCATGGAAAAGTGTATGCTGTGTGTATAGTGTTAAATCGATTAATCCTTCTAAATTATTCGGTTAATGGCAGCAGATACATAATAAACAATGATTTTTTATTACTAAACTTTGATATTCATAAAAGGATATTTGTGAAAATAAGAAACTTCTTGAAACGTCAATTCAAAATGCAAGGTCTTATCATCCTTTTTGAAATGCTTAGAAATTAGGCCTATAATTTCAAATGGGTATATGTATTTTAGAGCAGTATGTCCCCTATGGGTGGTTTTCTTTCTTTTTTTACTGTTTCCCCCCCCAAAAAAAAATTACTCATAATTTTTCATATTGGGTGTCAATCATTAATTTATTTGGAACTCTTAACTTTTAACAAGTAGGATTTTATGAGCTAGCTAGAAATTCCACTTAAAAAAGATTGCTGTATGTGCCTGATTATGCAAAAGTTGTACTGTACAGCAGGAAATTAACTCGCGGAGTTAATATTCGCTATATTCGCAGGAAAAGAAATTCCGCGAATTCAACATACAGTGAATAATTCTTGAAAAGATTTATAAGAATAAACTGAAATTTTATTATCATCTGTGTTTAGATGTAGACTGTCATTATAATTATGATAGTGTATACAAACACGTATAGTTGTTGGTGTTTTGTAAAGCTTATTAATTGTTTAATTAATTTCTATTGCTCACGATAACGGTAGTTTTGCCATCTAGAGTAGACGTGCAATGTAATTATTTAATTAAACAAGCTTGTATATTTCATCCGTGCATATCACTCAGTCATTACCTTTAATCAGGGCACTTGCGAAGTAAACAGGTTAAAGACAATTAATTAATTTCAATTATATGATTAAAAGTTCAACAATATATGACAACTATATTAATTTTTCATTTGGACTCGGAAATAAAAAAAAAAGATTCTGAATGCGTAACATGATTTTGACTTCAAATCGGGATCGGTCCGATGTTTCGTTATTATTTAATCGGGCTCAAAATTGACACAATATATCGACTTGCCTTTCCTGTCTTATATGTCCGATATACATAAACCGACTTTCGTAAGAGACTGAAAAGAACAGTTCACACAATATACACCTAAAGAAAAATGTTTACAAGTACTGTTAAAAAATGTATGTTTTTTTTCTTCTCCGCGAATTGCTGAAAATTGAACAAATCGCAATCTTTTCAGACCGCGATAT